TATATTCTAGATAGTAGACCTTTGTCTGAGGTACAGCTGCTAAAATTTTTTCCCCACATTGTAGGTTGTTGATTTATTTTTAATGTCCTTGAATCTTAACTTTAAACCTGTTTACTGAATTTCCTTTGTTCAATATTTCTGTTATCTCAGTGTGCATGATTTCTTTTTCAATATTTTTCTGAACAGGTTTGTGTCTGGAGAAGAGAGTCTTCTATAAGCTTATATCAGGACTTCATGCCAGTATCAATTTACATCTGTGTGTGAATTATCTTCTGGAAGGTAATCGGATTTTAAGTGGAGATTTTGCCTTCAGTGTTGTGGGAGGGGGATACATATTCTCTAGAGCAAAATCCTCTTTATTGAAAGAATGTAACGTATTTTTCTTTTTAGAAACCTGGGGTAAACCTAGTTGGGGACCTAATATCAAAGAATTTAAACGCCGCTTTGACCCTGTAGAAACCAAGGGAGAAGGTCCTAGAAGACTGAAAAATCTGTACTTTTTATATTTGATTGAGCTGCGAGCTTTGTCAAAGGTGGCCCCCTACTTTGAACGCTCCATTGTCGATCTTTACACTGGAAACACAGAAGAAGATGCTGACACCAAAACCCTTCTACTGAGTATCTTTCAAGATACAAAGTAAGAATTGACTGTCAGTGTTCTGAGATACTCTGAAACTTCATTCAGATGATGTCACACTTGACATGCAACCAAAACTGACTCCTAGGAGTTAGGAAAAGGGCGAAGTAGACCGGAGAAGGCAGATGTCAGTGGAACAATAGCATTTTAATTATTTCTAAAAATGTGAACTAAAATGCACCTATAAAGCTCTGTTGCAGAAACCTTCACACTTGAAAATAGGCTGTCTTTAAAAATATAATTTAAGATTTTATGTAGTATGAAATTGTAATGCTACTTTAAGGTTCTTTCTACCAATTTTGTATTCCTCCAATTGCTATTTAAATCTAATTGGTATCAAAAGTATGTTAGCATTAAGATGGATAAATAAGGGAGCACTAGCCTTATTTTCCAGAATATAACTTTTAAAAATAATGCTTAGTCTCTAAAACTCAAGTTTAGTGGATGTTAATGAGCATGGAGGAAAGTCAGATCAAAAAGTACTGAAAGTAAATTAAATTTTAAAAGAATTTTTAAGAGTGTGCATGTTTTACACAGACTCCTTTTCATTTTTTAGATTATTTTATCATGCAATGTTTGTTTCCTTTAAACATTATAATCTTATAAACGACACAGCCATTTGTAGTTTTAATTTTTTATTAGTTTATATGTGAATTATTGTCTTATAAGTAAATAATGAATCTTAAATATTTGTAGGAGTAGAAATTCTTCT